ATTGCTATGGTATATAAAAAAGAGTATGACATTAATGATATGCAACTAGTATAACTCTTATTAGTTAGTTGGACTTAATATAGTATTATTATACTTATTGGATTTATTGGTTTGTCTTAAAAATTCATGGCCATGTATAAAAATACTTTTCAAAAATTTTAAAAATCCAATTAGGTAAAAAAATTTCAAATAATTTTTTATTTTATTTATTTTAATCTTAAATTTCTTTTATATCTTACTAATTAGTGAGCCAAGTAGGAAAATATTAGATTATGTAGTCATATTTAATTAAATAAAATATATTATAATTCTAATTACATTCTGATTACGAGTATCGTTCGAAAAAAAGTTCAATTATGGTATGATTTACTAAGAGATGATTTTAATAAGAGAGACTTTTCTATTTACAATCTTAGATCTTCGCTTTTGTCTATAAAAAAATAGAATCTCCTATGGATGAACCACCAAAAATTAATATTATAGGTATATTCTTAATCTCGCTCGATCCCTATTTCATCACTTATAGTGGTCATATGAAGGATAGAAAGAGAGGAGAATACGAGTTTAATTCTCCTAGTAGATCGATATCGCTGTAGCTTTCAAATCCGAGGACGATGCGTTTACAAATTAGATAAAGGTTTTCTGAATGACATTAAAAGATATACAATTTTGATCTCGATCTATTATTATTTTATTTTAATTTTAATATTAAAATATTTTGTATAAATAATAATATAATTATAATTTTTATGCTTACACGATGAGCCCTTTTGCCCTCCTAAATGTCCCTCACTACGAAGTGATTCAACCTCTAATGAATAATGTTGGCCGCACCAATGAGGTGATGAAGTGGGATGCCCCTACCATCACCTTGGAGGAAAGACTCAAAGATGCCTTGGGTTCTTGGACACTCTGGATGAAGAAGGAAGAAGGAATTTCTTATATAAAGTTTTAAGGAGGGAAATCTTTATCAGATTTTGTATTAAATTTTTCTAAGGCATCCTTATCATTTAAAATAAAATATTTACAATCAAAAACTTTAAAATATAATATATTAGGTCTTTTATTTTTTCATGATTCATAAGGAATTTTAAATAAATGAGGCTTTATAAGAACTCTATTTATGACACAACATACCATGTTAATGACTTCGACCCAAAAGTATTTGAGTAAGATATCTTCTTTAAGTATGGTTTTTACCATCTCTTATAAGTTCATATTCTTTCTCTCAATAACTTCATTTTATTGTGAATTTCTTGAAGTACAAAAATTATGATCATACCTATTTAAATTATAAAATTTATAAAAATTATGATTTTTAAATTCACCACCATGATAACTACGAATAGAAGAAATCATAAAACCTTTTTCATTTTGAAATAGTTTATAAAATTTGATAAATTATTTAAAATAGTCATTTTTATGTGTCAAGAAGTATATCTAAGTATATCTATTATAATCATTAATAATCACATATGTATATTTGCTACCTCCTAGACTTGTACTATCAATAGGTCCAAATAAATTTATATGAATGTGTTGTAATAGTTTAGAGGTACTTATTTGATTTTTTAGTTTAAAGATACTCTTTATATATTTTTCCAATTAACACACATCACAAATTTTATCTTTAATAAATTTAATGTTAGGTATTATTTTTACAAGTTATTTCATTTCAATTTATGAAATTAATTTTATACAAACATATCCCAAAGCCATGCATCATTATTCAAATTTTAAAAATAAGTTGTATCATAAAAATCATCAAGGTCGACAATATAAATATTATCACTTCTTAAAGCTATAATAAATTTATTTTGATTTAGTATTTCTATGGTGTAAGCATAAGATTCAAATTTAATATTATATTTTTTATCATAAAGTTGGCTAATACTTTTAAGTTGTGTTTCAAACCATCAACCAAAAACATATTTTCAATCAAAAGATTTGATTTGTTACTAGTATTTTCAATGTCAATGATTTTTCTTTTATTGTTGTCTTAAAAATAGCATATCCTCCTTCTCGGCTAGTGAGCTTTAAGAAATTTGTAGGATCTTCGATCATATGCCTTGATCATCCACTATCAAGATATCATCTTTTGCTCCCGGCTCTTATTTGGAGACATATCTACAAGAAAAAGATATTTGTTTTAGATACCCATATAATTTTAGATCATTCGTGATTAGATTTACCTTTCTTGTCTTTTAGTTTTAAATAATTTATGATTTCTTTAGGAACCCAAACTAATTTACGATAACTATATTTCTTAAAAGAGCATGTGTAAGCATAGTGATCAAACTTTTCATAAAAATTATATTTAATTTTAGGAGAAATATATAGTGTTGATCCTTTTACAAATTTAGTTGGCTTTTGATGTATGTTACAACTTATAAAGCCAATACTTTCTTTTCTAAATACACAATCTTATTTAGTAAGAATAATATCAAGTGACTTATTTTTAATATTTATCGTAGAAACATGTTTTCCTCTTCGAGAGATTCTATTATATTATTATTATCAATTGATTCTCTTAAGCAATGTTCTATTTTCTCATTCATGACAATTAGGTCCTTTTTTGTATTTTGTAAAGCATATGATTTTTGAAATAATTCTTTTTTAAGTTTAAGATTAGATGATTTTAAATCTTGAGCAAAGAGTACAAGATGTTGATATATATTCATTATGCATAGTTCTTAATGTATTGAATTCACTAGTAAGTAATGCATGATCTATTAGGACTGAAATCAATAATGAGAAGGGGATGAATTAGTGTTTCGATAAAAACCTTCAGAAATATTAAATGTGTGCTTAACTTAGAATAAGTGCAATAAGCAATTAAAGCAATATCAATAACAATGAAAAGCAAAACAAAAATACAAACCGAGTTTTATAGTGGTTCGGTCTTCGTGACCTACGTCTACTCCCGATTCCTTCTCCGTTGAGGCCACCGACATCCACTAACGGTCTTCCTTTAATGGGCGAAGACTAACTACCCTCTTACAACTCTTGTCTCCTTTTCACAGGTTTAGGATATAACATTTATAATCCACTCACCTATCTCTTAAACTTCACCCAACACTGGCTTAAGAAGAGTTCTCACAATATTACAACAACGTTTTCCTTCTTTTTTTTTTTTTACTCTCAGTTCTTATGTTTTTAACTGAGTAAGGATGAGTGAGGTATTTATAGGTCTCAAATGACTTTAAAAACTGGAGCCAAAATTTAAATCCCCGAGATTTCGAGGTATTGGGTGATACCACCGTCAATACTGGGTGGAACCATCAGTTGTCAGTTCCGACACTAGGCGGTAC